AATACCGAAAGTGACAAATTCCTACTGTTGGGAAAACCGTCTTTCACCACCTTAGGCCTTAAGTGCTTCACCTTGCCACTTAAGTCACAAAATACAAGATTCTTGAAACACAAGCCAAGTAGATAAAGAAAAGCAAATGGTGTTTTGATAAGAAGCATACATGAAGCTACTTTCTCACTCTGCTTGCTAAACATTCCCTTGCCATCTCAAGATGCCTTCCTCTTCTTGATGCTTTAGAAGAATCACCAGGAACATTGTTGTCCCCAGCCACAGAATGACATCGTTATTTCAAGCCAAAAGCGACAACTGCGTTATCCAACACTAGCCTCGGATGGCTGAAGATATGAGAGTGCAACCTTAGCTGCTTGTCGCCATGGAACTTGTCGATAGCCCTTAAAGGACCTCGTCCAGTACGTCATATAAGGCTTGGAGATGTAACCCACTTAGGTCCTGTTGGCAATATAGTGGGAAGGTCGAAGGTTTTCAGGTGGTAAATAGACGGAGCTACAAACTAATAGACAGACGGAGGCATTGTTTTCGGTTGGGAAAGACCATGGTAACCCTTGGTCAAAGCTGAATTGTCACCTCACTAGGAAAAGAGTATAAACTGCATTTTTTTTCCTCATCATTCTCTCCAAAGAGATGAAGCCAACAAAGCCAACGATTTCTCAATAAGGGAAGGGAACTCCAAGTTCTCAGACGAGAGAATTTAGGTCATGCTATTGTCTTCCCCATAAACGACATTAGTATAAAACATCATCGACTCAAAACTTTCAGGGAGCATAGTGTAAGGATGAAAAATGAAACTACTCACATCATCAAGAAGCTCTAAAAAGTCTCGCATTTTCCCGGGGACTTTCCTGAACCAACAGCATGCCAACAGAAGTTTCTCAAACATATAGGATGACAAATCAATAACAAAGCAGCTCTTAGCGGCCTTACTAAGGTTAAGACTAATATTCAAGCCTCTAATCTTTTTCCAAAGGAAGATCTGTAGAAAGCCAACACACAAGAAACTCTTAATTGGGGCATCGTCGGTTACTTGTTCTTCGAGAGTGTGAATCTTGTCTAACTCGCAGTACAAGAGACCAAGAAATAGTGGAGCCAACAGAACTATGTGGCCCTGCCCAATCTCCAAGGCTAAAGGAATCACTCGGTGGTGGAAGGTGTCTTTACTATCGCAAAATATAAAGCGGCCAAGGCACAAATATAACATGGCCTTAAACTTACAATTTAGCTCTTGGCTATTCTGCCAAAAGTGCTTTATCCATTCATTGAACCGGTAGGTATTGCTCAGCGATATGGGAGCACCTTTCTTTAAGATATTATACACTTCAGCATCCGTAGGAGGAATATCGTAGTGGAAGGGGTCCACGTTCTCTATAATGAGAAAATGCAAGCCTTGTAACCACATGCCAAAGGAAATCAGACTCCACATGAACGACTTGCCTCTTAGTCAAGAACATGGCGTCCTGGACTTTTGCCCTCTTTAGGATGGTACACTGGTTAGTAAATCCTAATTTAGCATTAACTCGGTTAACCCAGCCGGTGGCTTCACCATAGGAAAAGGTCAAAATGGATTAGAACCAGCAGGGAACCATCCGTTCTTTATACAGTACCTTGAAACACACTTGGGATCTAAGAGATGAACCACGTCTAGGGAAGACCCTTCTCCCTTGAACGCCTTGTTCTAGAAGCCGAAAGGAGATGGTGGTCTACCTCAATGGAGTCGATCAGCAGTCAAAAAAGACTCATCTACCATGCCTAAGTATTTTGGAGAAACTAGAGCCATAAACTTCCTACAGGAAACAGGCAACAAACAATAAGGGTCGCAATACACCATATCATGCAAGGCAAGATATACAAGCATACAAAAAAAAAAAACATAGCAAATAATCTACCCCCAGAAAGCAAGCAATCGCCTATTAGGAAAACAAGCAAGCACACCCTGGGAAAGCAAAAGGGTATGTGGATAAAATTCAAAGCCTTTCATGCAAGACTCTAAGACTTTGCCATGAGACTATTTTTCTGTACATGCTATCAAGCAAAACAATTGCATCTTTTCCTACACATGCCATGCTATCAAAGCCCTAAAAGATCTAGCCTAGGAAAGTATGCTATACATGTATCCAAGAGAAACCGGTTATATGCAGTCAAGCTAATCATGCCAAGCGGGTCAATGCAATTGATCAATTGATCTCGTTCAAGCACACACCAATATGAAAAAAAGTTAGGCTAAATGACAATCGCACAATGTACATGAAAACAAGAACAAATCTACAAAGGGCAACCATACAGAGACCCAAGATCGAAAGCCACAGAAGAGCATGAGTTCGATTTCCCGAGGGAAAGATCATGCCCCCTGTCTATGAAGATTAAAACCCTAAAGTACCTTAAGCGCAAGCAAACGACCATAGCATGCTCAGATTCACCAGCAAGATCATCATGGAAGACAAGGAAACAAGAAATTTTTTGAAGAGCAAGGTCAAGGAATTCTTCCTTACCTGAAAGAAGGTCTCAATGTAGAACACTGAAGAACCCAAAAGCACAGAAAGATGCAAGTAGGAGGTATAATGGTTAATAAAGGAAATACAAAAGAAAGAATTATCGAAGAAAGAAGAACCGATGAGAAGAAGAAAAAAAATACAAATACCTATCCTAAAGAAGGGAGGTGTTCCAAGCAATTACCAAGAAAAAAAAAAAGGAGGTCCCAGAATTCTTTTTGGATCATGAAATGTGCATGAAAAACAAGGAAGCATATTCTCACTAGGCCACCAGCATCCATGCGGAAAAGAAAGAAAGAAAGGAGAATAGTCTCATCAAGAAGCCCACATTTAAAAAAAGGAATCCCTTGGGCTTGGGGTTGATTATTCATCCTACTCAAGGATCCTCATAGCCCAAATAATCAATGGGGCTAATGTTGGGGCCCAAAAATGTCGCACACCAATCCAACCATGTCTCAAGGCCTAGTTGTCATGCACAACCTACATTCAAGCCCAAATACATGCCAAGGCACGGGATCGACGAGGAATATATTTACAAATATGTCGTGCCACGGTGATTAAGTTGGATACTCACGCCATGCTCATACCTATTCATCACGCCATGTTTCCTCATGCTAATCACTGCCATGCTAAGCCCAAGTCACATATTCAAGGCTTGTCAAGTGGATTATAGTGTGGATGGTTGTGAAAGATTATCGAGGCTACATGGAATGGGGGGTCATGGAAGACTTTAGGCTGCTTGGGAGCCCAAAGATCCAAGCCCATACCCTTTGTATTTCACGCAGGCATCATTGAAAGAGAATTAGCCTGGTTTACCCTTTTCCTTAGCAAGCCAACTCCCTTAGTTATAACTAAACTAGATTCTTGAATTAAATGTATGTTAAGCTCAGCAAGTGAAGCATTTAATGCTAACTTTCCCTTCCCAGCCTGCACAGACAATCAATGGGTGAAAGCCGTGAGGTGCGCTACTAGAACTAGTACCTATGGAAGGCCACCCTGGGAAAGGTGTGCCTCAGGAAGTAGCAATTTGCAGGTCTCAATAGTGCAGTTAGTTTACACCAAAATGGGAATAATAAGATAGTTAGGGAGAAAGAAGGGGAAGATGAAGCCACAAAAGGATATTCCCTTGAAACCTAGAAAAGAACCCTTCACTTACATAAAGGGGGGAACACATGTAGAATAGAGGAAGAGAGAGGAGACTCAGATGAACACAAAGGGAGAAATAAAGAAAACGTAGTGAGAGGGAACCACCAGGAAGAAGCCCATAGAGTTCCATTTACTCCAGAAGCATACTCTAAGTCTCAGGCATCACCATCCATACAACCTTAGTAATTTCCACAGCCTTCCATCAAACATCTCAACCATTAGAAGCCTTACTATCACCCTAGGAAAGCCCAAATCATGCAGCTAAAAATACCATGCAACCATGCAAATCCATTCTCTCTCATGTAAACTGATAATAGCTTCCACACGACGCTTCACTTGAGCAAGTCATTATCTTGATCAATCATACCATCTTCGAGCCGTTGATGTTACCGGGGTATTTCCTAGGACAAGCTATCTTTTTTGAGATATCGTGGGACTTGGTACGAGCCCGCACCAAGGGAGACAAGAGGACGTTCTCAAAGTCTAAGTCCACCTCGACCTAAAAGTCCCCCAACAGAGAGTTGAGGGTTTAAGGGCGTGGAACAAGTTTACAAAAAAAATGATGGAGATGAGGTATTTATAGAGCTAGGGCCAACCACATGTTTAGCATTTGCCCTAACATGTGCCGGCATTCGATTGACCAAGGTATGTCATCCATAGGATGGATGAGGAAGAAATAATCTCAAAGACATTATTTTATAAATCTTGGGATTATCGTGGAAGTATCCTTCCTATATATAATTGTGATTCCTTCCTTGATTGAGTTGGTCTTCAACTAGGAGAGTATTAAAGATAGGATATAGTAATTAATTATATCTTTAATGTTTTTGACTTTTCTCCTTGTCATGGGCAAAGGAGTTGGTGATGTTGTAGTCAGCTACTCAAACCTCTAGGAATGTTTAACTACGTATGGAAATCTTGTGGGCTTCGTCAATTTAATAAGAGTATTTTTGTCTTCTTTGAGAAAAAACTCACGTATCACCTCCAGAATTCTTCAGATTATTTTTTGCTCAACAAAACGTTCTTTGAAATTTATGCTAGCCTTAGTTTACTAATACATATGGAATTTGAAAAGAAAAATGTATGAGCTCCACTTTAAAATAAGTAATCATATAAATGAGGGAGCTAGTTGATCAAATTTTCATTCCTTTTTTCCTTACCCATGCAATTTGTGACCCTTATTTTCCTTACCCAAGCAATTTGTGATTTCTCCTATTACAAGTAGGTTAACATTCCAGAAGAAATTTATTGCCTCTTATTATTTTCTGAATTTTGCTTGGGTATTTACATCGATCCCTTGTACACAAACAAAGGCTTTAACTACTTTCATTAAAGTCTGGTTACCACTACTTACAATATCTTCGAAATATTAAAAGCTATCTCCTCTATTGGAGGCCTAGCCTCTGGTTTGGCATTTGTACATGCCAAAGCAATCTGCAAAACCATTGACACTTGCCTCCTCTCTTTCCTTTCCTTCACTGGAAAATCAAAAAACTCCAAACCACCTTCTAAGTTCATGTTTGCTTGCTTTTCATTTATGCCCCTTGTCATTTCCAAACCCATTGGTTCTGCCAATATGTCCAGCAGTATCAACCCAAAATTGTAAATGTCACTCTTCTGACTCAGTTCATCACAGAAATTATTTTCCATTTGCCGGCTGGGCGACTTCATCAGCTGCCATGTGCTTGAACTTTCGACCGGCTGCGCCAATTGGGTGAATCCGTAATCCGACAAGCAGGCCGAGAAGTCCACGTTCACCATGACATTGCATGGCCTAATGCTCCCGTGTACGTTGATCTTCATCTTCTTCTCGTATGGAGGATATTGTCCGTGGATGAAAGCAATTGCTTGTGCAATATGATTAACTATAGTGAGTCTTTGGTTCCATTCCAATGCTGTGTGGCCATGCTGCCTAGCACCTTAATTTATGGTCAAACCAAAATAATTGTCAGATATCACTAGGTACAAACAGTGTTCACTTAATAATGTCCTAGCGTCTGGTTGACAATATCAAAGTTATGTACATCTCTCCTACTGAAGAACTTTCTGACCAACAAAAAAATGTACAAGGTCCATTAATTCCAAAACATTTGCAGCTTCTATTGGAGAAGCATTAAGAGATTGAGAAATGTGTTGCGCACAACCTTGTTCATTGGCGCTTGATTTTTCTTAATTTATTAAATCTAAATGTCAAAAATAAATATGATTGTGGATGAGGAATAAAACAAAGTGTGCAAAAACTATTTCCCTAAAAATTTATGTCTGCAAAAATTGAAAATATATATGAACCTTATAGTTTTTTTTTTAATACGCTTTTTTATTTGGAATCGATGAAAAATACTTGATCTTAATTTTACAAAGATCATGGACAAAGTCTGAAACCAAAACACACAAATCGTCACCAAATGGATAAGGAATTTAGTAGGCTCATGCGAATTAAAGAGGCTCCCTGATTGTTAATATAATTATTTTACATAATATTCTTCAACAAAATGTAAATTGGCCGAAATGTAAGTGTAATCAAATTTTAATTGCTGAACTAATTAAAATTAAATATTGAAGAGATATTGATCAAAGATCGACGATACGTTAGTTCAATATCGGATGACATAGATCATTTCAACAATTGAAATATGAAACAAATTCATCATTTAAAGTGTTTGAAACTTTAGAATTAATTACTGCTTTAGGAAGCACGTCCAAGTGAATGCATAAACTTACCGGCAAGCAAGTCGGCGAGGCTTCCCATGGGTTTATAATCAGAGAGAACAAACTTGATCCTCTTAGCGTACAAATAAGCAATGACAGGCAAAAGATACTCACACTTCTGACTCACTTTAGCCAAGTGCTCAATTTTCTTCCCAAACTCACGCTTCCTAGAGCTCACATTCCTGAACCTCTTCACGGCACAAACCCTACCTCCCAACAGCACCACCTTCTCAGTCATCCCCAGCTTGCTCTCTCCAATCACACCCACCGAACCCCTCAGTACACTCCTCAGTGTCAGGTGGGCAAGCCTTTCCCCGCAACCCAAACACTTCTCCTCGTGCCCACAGAAGACAAGTGGCAGATCGTCCATGAAACCGACGATGCATTCTTCATAGTCGGCGAAGGAGCTGGCGTAGCTTTTTATTAGGTCGTCATGTTTGGGGCTTTTATTTCTAGGTTTTTCTCTTAGGGTTAACATGGTTTTTTCAGAGAGGAACTGATGAAGTTTGAATGTGAAAAGTGTTTCGTTTGATGAGAAATATGGTTTTGTTTTTCTTGTTCGGGTGATTTTGATTAATTTATTGTGACGTTTCTTGATTATATCAATCCAGCTAGCTTGTAATTGCTTTGTTATTGGGCCCTTGGAATACAGAAAAATCCAAATGTGGAATCATATATTTCTTTTCGAACTTTGGCTAGCCATTCAAACCATATTGGTTTATTTTATTCCATTACCATATATAAAAATCAAAATTAAAAAAATTAGGAAAAAAAAAAAAAAAAACAGGAAAATGTGAGGGGGACTATCTTGTTTTTCTTCTTTTTTCAAACAAACAATATTATTTACACTAAGAAAAATAGGATGGGTTTAACCTCACAAGGGCTAGTAATAATGTGGTTCAAATTCGCTTTTGACGATAATCAAACTTATGACCTCTAACTTACAAGTGAAAAAAAGTATTACTAGACTATAATACTAAGTGGCTAGGGAGACTACCTTTTGAGACTATATTTTATAGACTATGTCATGTAACAATTGATGGTTGGTCTTCTTGTTTAATAATTTAAAAAAAGAAATCTAATCATTGACCACCACATTGTGTGATCTAAAAAGTACAATTTAACTAGATGGTCCATCTAGCATAAAGCTATTCAGGCCACAAAGTTTGGAGGTGGATTGTTTGCCATCTCATTTCCATACTCTCCTCATGCCCTCCTGTTTGTGTGATCACGGTTAAACCACATCAACATTTTATATTCCTATTACATTTTGTTTTATTATTTCTATAAAAAAAATTAATATAAAATGTTGATGTGGCTTAACCGTAACCACACATCACAAGAGGGCATGGGGAAAGTATGGAAATGGAAGGGCAGAAAATCCACCTCCACAAAGTTCTACTACTCACAGTGCGCAGAGGTAACACTGGTTTTGAGAACATTAGGCATTTTCCTTGGCATTCGCAGAGAAATTTCGAGATGATTGTCAGCAAGAACTACTTTGTAACGTAGTTTTTCCCACAATTTAATTTCATATTCTACATTTGACATATTATTTGTTGTTAAGAAACCTATAGTAAAGGTAACTGAGTAATTTGTGCATCTGAGGTAGTTGCTTCATTTGGTGTCCAAGACGAAACACACACACACACACACACACACACACATATGTACGTATGTATATGTATGTATATGTATGGTAAACTTAAATATGATGATATTGACTTAGATTAAATTGAATATTGTCAAACATAGTAGGGGACAATAGCATCTTTCTTAATATAGAATTTTACTTATAACGGAATGGTCCACTCAAGTGTCTACACTGTCGATGTAAATTTCCACCTTCATTTGATTGACGAATATGCACCTCTAAAATATTAACACCTGAGATTAAGGCCAAAAGTCTCACGCACCAACGATGAATGGGGGCCTTGGCCAAAGAATCTTTGATGCCAAAGTTTGAATTCTAAAAAGAATGTGTTTGAGTGTTTGTGGGTAGCAAAAAGCCTCTTGAATTTTGGAGATAAAGGGTGTATTTATAAGAGAGAAGGAGGAAGTGGGTCAGCCCTCTAGGGTTTAAGGGTGGCCGGCTCTATGTGGAATATTTGGTGGGAATATTCCAAAGATATTTGTGTAAATAAATATCTTGCAGTAATTTGGTAAATATCCTAAATAAATGGAATTACGATTACTTACTTAAAGGAGGTCTTCTCTGATTAGGAATCTATTTATGATAAGAATAAGGAATTATCCTATCATAAGTACCTTTGACTTTTCCTACGGGCAGGGGTGCCTTGAGCAGTCGTTGATCTCTGCCTGCTCTACCTCAGCTGGGCGTGGTGAATGAGTTGTTTTTTGCTCATTTAATAGGGGCAATCTTGTCTTTCTTGGGAAATAATCCACATGTCAGCTCCATGATTTATAGGGTTATTTTTGGCTCCACAAATGCCTCCACACCTACTGGACTGCTCTTAGGAAAAGGCAGGAGATGTAGGAATCCAAAGCTGCAATGGAGTTTGTGTCCCAATTTGATGTAGATTCCCTTTTTGACTTTGAATTTAAATCTTTGTAGAAAGGGAATGTTATTGCCACCAAAACATATTTAAGTATGTGTCAAGCAGGGGATTAAATAAATTTAGAGTGCAACTAAAACCCCACAAAAAAGAGAGAAAGCCAGAAGATATTTGTTCCCTTTCCTCTAACAATCTTCTTCACTTACTCGTGCAAAGAATTGTGTTCCGTTGCTTTTCTTTTTTTCCAAGGTAAGAAAAAATTAATTTTCTCCTTCTTCTTGATTTTTCGGAGCCTTGGGGCTTGAATTTTTTGCTCTTTGGAGTGAAAAAGGCAGTTGCGGGCTGCTGTGCTGTTGTTACCGTGGCAAATTGGCGGCTGCGGTTGGTATGGCGTGACTCAACTGTGATAGGTGCATAGATCTTGGTCCCAGGCCAAGTACGCCTTGACTCGTTGGGATAGGTGCATGGATCTCGGTCCTGGGCATTAGGGCACCGGTCTTGGGCGTTGAGGTGTCGGTCTTGGGCTGTTGGGCTTGGGCTTGTGCAGTGGTGAGAGATGCAGGAGAAAGAGGGAGGCACGATGGTGCTAGCTCCCCTTTTCGTTGGTTTTGGCCGCACAGCCTTTAGGCTGCAAGGGTGAAAAAAGACAAAAGGCCTGGCCTGTCGAGCCAAGAGGAAAATGGGGCCAGGCCGAGAAAAAGAAAGGCTTGGCGTGCTAGGCTCATGCCTTAGGTCTGGTGTGCTGGGTCCGTGGGGTAGCCAACTAGGCTGCGACCTGGCACGTTGCTCCATGTGATTTTTTTTCCTTCTTCGAGTAACTTTCTAACAATTTTTTCTTATGTTGTTATAGGGTTTTTTTGAACATGTCTTCCTTGAGCCACAAGAATGATGATTTTATTCTGCTATTATATCGCCAAGGCGAATCTGCAAGTAAGCTAGGTTACTTCAACACTGCTTATGTCAAAGTAGGTTCTGATGAGAAGTTCAAAGACTTCCTTGAGATGTTTAAAAATGCAATTTCGTCTGGTGTTTGCATGAAGGGCCAAGAATGGTAGCAACTGTGAACCATGTTGGTCTAGGAAAACTATCAAGTTTCACCCCTACTACTTCGTGTTGGGGTTCACCTTTTTAATGCCTTGGTTCTTCCAAAAGGTGATCTGTTCTAGGAAGTGTGATCCTACTTAGTGTTTTCCAAATGCAGTCTACACGATGGTAGGGTTCCATAACTTGAGCAGGTTTTTTGACTTGGACCTAACTGCCAACTAATTTTGGTACTTCTTTGACATAGGTCATATTGATGGTGTTGGGCAGCTGAGGACCCGTCATAAGTTCTTCGATCACTCGAGCAAAGATGATCATAAATGGGCCTAGAAGACCCTAGAGATCAGAGGAGAGTGGGAATTCGACTCCTCGCCAGGAGTATGCATTCCGATTGTTTTCATTGATGGTAATTAGGCTGCTTAGTCTCTATGCTACTTTATACTTTTGTTGTGCTGCCTTATTATTTGTCATCATCTTGTTATGTAGATTCAGAATTCGATTCAACTCCCAAGACTTCTCCAAACCTGAAGAAGGTGCACATCATACTGGGGATCCTTATTGAATATCCCAAGTAGCGTTGGTTGCTCAGTCCTCTTCATAGGGAGAAAGATGGGCTACCTCTGTGAGAGGAGATTAGGAGGATCAAGGGTGAAGCATTCGCTCATCTGATCGCTACTGTGGACCCTGTTGCTAGTGGAGGCCGGAGAAAGGGATTTTTGTCGCTTACTCAAGAGTCTTCAGTGAAGAAAAAGCTGAAGACTTCCCCTGCTGCTCGCGAGGGTGTGTCCACTGCTAAGAGGCTCGTGATTGACTTAACCTCTTCCAAGAGGAAGAAAGAGGCTGCTGGATCTGAGCCTGTAAAGCCTGATGCTCCGAGGGTTGCTAGAACAGTCACTGACTGGATTGCGCAGCGGAGAAGTTCTATTATGCCACACGTGCCTAGTTTTATTCTGAGATAGCCTTCTGTGCCCAAGTCTGATCCAATTTCGAAGGTACATGCAGCGACGAAGAATGAGGATGGCAATTCCATTACCAAAGCAGTGCCAGGGCCGACCTTTCCTATTGAGAAGGAAACGCTTGCCCTCATGAGCAGCTGTGAATGGCCTGCCAAACCAGCCTTAAGGGAGTTTTTCGAGACCCATGTGCTATTGAAGCTTGATCTGCTTGAGGACATGAAAACATGTGCTAAGCAAGGAGTGTTGTATGTTGGCAAGAACCTGAAGAATGAACTATATGAGTTGCAAAATGCTCGTAATAACCTGATTGAGGAAAATAAGCAGTTGAAGAGCGAGAAGTCCAGTCTTAAGGTTGTCCTTGCCCAAGGTCAAGCTGACTTTTACAAGCTTAGCTACATAGATCATTTCCTTGGCATACCATCTGACTACACCTTTTCTGATAAGGACTTTGAGCTTTTTGCTATTTATTCCAAGGATTTGCTTAAGTTTTCATTTGAAAGTGCAACGTAAATCAGGTAAGGATGAGGCTACCAAGGTAAGTACGGCCGAAGGTAGTGCCACCTAGGTAAAGGCGGTTAATGACAGTGATACTGAGGATGAGGCAGCTGTAGATGAAGTGTAGGAGGTTGATGCTGCTGTGAGCGATGCGTGCTGAAGATGTGTAAACTGCTGAGAAGTAATTTTTTTAAATAGACTTTAGGATTTACTTTTTTTCCCTTTCGTACTTTGCTTTTTCCTTTGCTTTAACTATATTGGTCTTCGTGCCAGTTTACCAATTTACTAGAAATTAATAAACTGTTTTTCTTTGCTTTACTTCATCTTTGTCTTTTTGCCTTGCTTCAAGCCTTAGCTGCAGAATGAACAACTAAACATGCTACTTTGGACAAAGTAGTTAAGCCCATCTTCATTGCTGTAGGCGCTAACTTCGGGTTGTCTAGTGTGATTTTTTGCTCGCTTGAGGCATC